CTAATAGCTCTGAACTTTCATAACCTTCAGACACAACTCCAGCACTGCCTTCTTCTTCCTCCTTTCCATACTTTTTCTTATTTTTTCTCTCAGGACAATCCCTCATAAGATGCCCTTCTTTGGGACAGAAAAAACACTTCCACTTTCCAGTTTTGGACTTAGATCTATTCCTATTTTGTCCCCCCCTTTTTCCAGTTTCTCTTTTTTGATCTACCCCTTACCATGAGACCTTCCCCATCACTGCCTAATGTCATTCTGTTCTCTCTATCCTTAGCTGTGATTGCTTCTACAACCTTTTCTAATTTAAGTGTCTGCCTACCATATTTTAATGTTTCTACAAAATTGGAGTAAGGTTTAGGTAGGGAATTTAGAAGAATTACAGCCTGATCTTCATTATCAACCTCTACTGATATGCTTTCTAAATCCTGTATGAGTTTCAGAAACTCATCCTTATTGTCTTTTAAAGATTTCTGCTCATCCATTTTAAACCCAAACAACCTTTGTTTTAAATACAATCTATTAGGAACAGCTTTAGACTGGTACAGAGAATTTAACCTGCTCCAGATCTTAGCAGCAGTTTTCTCCTTCTTCACTTCTCGCAGGACTTTGTCACCCAGTCCTAGGATCAAGGAGCTCTTAGCTTTGTTGAGCACATCCTGCTTCTCCGCTTCAATCAAGGTGTTAGATAGCTCAGATTCTCCTTTCGACGCTAATGATAGTCCTTTTTTAATCAGCACAGCTTCCATTTTCATCTTCCAGAGTCCAAAATCATTGTCCCCTGTAAACTTTTCGAGTTCATATTTAGTGGACATGTTTTTGGAATAAGATTTCCAACGACAAAAAATGAATTTCAAAAAACCCTAACTCAGATTCGAACTAGGCTCTGATACCAATTTGTAGTGACTAATTAGGGCTCTCAACTATGCTAATCAAATCAATAAGTGAGCAAACACAATCTTATCAAGCAATAGAATCAGAGATTAATTAAAGCATGAAACAAATCAGAAAAAACAATTGACAAAGGGGATTTATAGTGGTTCGGCTAAGGAAGCCTACATCCACTCTTCAAGGCACACTATAAGATATTTCATTAATCAAGAGAACCAAAGGTTACAAAGAGTAAACAATCAAAGAATAACAAGAAAGAACACACCCGTTTCAACCCTCTCTCCACTCCCTCTGTATTCGCACAAAATGGTCAAAAATTTATACACATTAAGACCCCATTGATCATCTTCTAGCTGTCCAGAAAAATCTGCAGTTTGTTAGAGCAGAGGAGCACTAGAATCTTCTGTCGTTAGGGTTGAGAAGGAACCAGAGAAGGCGTGAAAAAAGCTATGCATTCTGTTGCAACAGAATGAAATTCGTGTGCCAGATAAGGCACTTAAGTTTGATAGTTGAAACACTGCCGTATTGGTTTAATTTGAAGCTGACTTCTTTGACTGATGCTGACTCCACCATGGCATACACAAGCCACATCATCATCACATGGAAGAACATGTATCTACAAAGCCTACCTGTTTGGAAGCCCAAGTGTCATAGTTTGTACCCCTGAATCCTGCAGACGGGTCCTGATGGACGATGAGAAATTTGGAGTTGGTCATCCTGAATCAATCAAGCAATTAACATGAAAAAGATTATTTCATAGCATTTCAAGTGCAGAACACAAACGTCTTCGCAGATTAACCACAAGTCCAATCAATGGGCACGAGGCATTAGCCATGTACATTGGGTATATTGAAGACATTGTGGTTACTGCATTGGATGAATTTGCCAGTAGAAACAAGCCAATTGAGTTCTTGACAGAGATGAGGAAGGTTACTTTCAAAGTCATTACTTATATCTTTCTGGGATCCGGCTGTGATTCAATTAATCTCGAGTCATTAGAGAAATATTATACTGATTTGGTTTACCGATTCATGCCTCCAGCCTTTAACATCCCAGGTCTCCCTTTTCATAAAGGACTCAAGGTAAAGTTTTATCAGGGAATTATTAACATTTGTTTACTGAAAATATGAGCTTCATCATGGACTTTTTCTTTGCTTACCAGGCAAGAGAAATGTTGGTGAAGATCTTCCAGAGACTCTTGGATGATAGAAGGGCAATGAGGGGAAGTGACAATGAGAAAGAATCAAAGAGAGGCATGATTGATTTGATGATGGAAGTTGTAGATGAGAATGGTGAGAAGCTGGAGGATGAAGATATTGTAGATATTCTTCTACTATTCTTGTTAGCTGGCCATGGAAGTTCTGCACTTACTGCAATGTGGGCGATAGTTCACCTGCATCATCATCCAGAAATGGTGCAAAAAGCCAAGGTCGAGACTTGGAAATTATAATGAACTTGCAAAGTAAATAATCAATACATAAAGAGAGACACTGCATTTTCAGATCATAAAGTTGTTCTTGTTAATTTTTCTGGGCAGGAAGAGCAAGAGGAGATTATAAGGAGAAGATCCTCAACACAGAAAGGATTAAATCTCAAGGAAATTAAACAGATGGAGTATCTTGCTACGGTAATAAATGAAACATTGCGGAGAAGCACTCTCTCATTAGCAATTTTTCGTCAGGCAAAAGTAGATGTTGCCATGGAAGGTTAGTGAAGTCACTCAATGCTTCATATTAATTGTCCTTCTTTTATTATTTGTCACAAAAGGAGAATTACATGATTTTTGCAGGTTATATTATACCAAAAGGCTGGAAAGTTTTTGTCTGGAAAAGAGGTGTTCATATGGACCCTGAAACTTACCCAGAACCAAAACAATTTGATCCCTCATGACGGGAAGTAACTTAGAATACAATGATATTTTAAAAAATCTCTTAAATTATTTCTCGATCTATAAACTTGTCGATGTTATTTACCACGTCACTCATCATTTACCAGCAGAATCATGTAGCGAACCCAGGAGCTTATATATCTTTGGAGCTGGACCCAGGATTTGCCCTGGAGCTGATCCAGCCAAGCTTGAAATTTCCATTTTCGCTACAAGAAAAAATACTTTTTGCAATCAATTTTTTTCAACTATGCAAAAATAGTTACATATACCCTGCATTTAATAACTAAATTCCAATCAATCGGCCAAAGGGGAATAAAATTCTAGGGCCCATTTATTCTCGCATTTGACGTCTAAAATTAATATTCTGCGACTAATTTGATTTGTTGTCCAAAATATCACATTAACGACTATAACAAGAGATTTCGCAACTAAAATTATGGTTACAGAAAACAATTATTTGCAACTACTGAATAGTTGCTAAATTAGATGCAAATATTTATTAATTAATTTGTAACTATTTTTATTAGTTACAAAATAATACAATTACCGAAATATCCAAGCTTCTGACACTAATTATAAAGCGCCCCGAGTACATTTGACAACTAATTATTTTATGAATATTACAAAATAGTTGCAGAAACTCATGTATAGCAACTAAAATGTATTTAGTGTCTAAGCTGGGGACTATTTCAACCAGCAATTACCGACTAATTTGTTAGTCGCCAAAAAAAAAACTTTTCTCGTCTAACCAACTTTTTAAACGCCCATACTTTATGCGACAGAGATTTTGCAACTATGTGGCGACTACGAAATTTAGACGCACAAGATATTTAATATCTAAATTTTACTATCGACGTCTAATTCTGCCAGATGCTGAAAGCCATTTTTCTTGTAGTGTTACCTACATTATTTTGTGCTTAACTACAGGTGAGTATACATATATCTATTATAGTTTTATCATTGCAATGAATATTTGCATTTTGCAACACATTATACAAGTTATTATTTGCAGGCTTGAACAAGTGAACCCAGGAAGCCCTCTAGTTTACTTACCTGAAAGGAAGCCATCAGACAACTGTCTTGCCAAAATCATCAAGCTCCCATTACCATCCAAATCATCAAATGTCTAAGGGGAAAAAAAACCGATTGTATTGCAGAATTGTATTTATGATGTTACTGTCATATATGTATATGCCTAATAATCATATACTTTAAATGATCTTTTCATCAGTTAAAATTTTTGACATATTGTAACATGACCTTAGTTACCAAATAAGATCATCCAGTAATAAGTCCACATAAAGAAATCCAATCAACTTCAGAGCCCATTTCTGACCATAGGTTATAGGCCCAGCAGACATAAAACCTTAAAACAATACTATTTAATCCAAAGTTTGAATTAATGTATAGATAACTATCATATTTATTAAGATTTAATAGCTCTATTCCCACATTTATATTTGATTCATGCACTGTGGTTGATGAATTTCTATCCTTATTCCAAATACCAATGCGCGTTTGTTTCTCTATTTTCAAAATCATATCCTAAATTAATCTTTTTAAACCCCCTAAGTTTGTTAATTGACAAAAACACCCCCAACAAAAAATTTATAAATTAACAAAAATACCCCCACTGACAGTAAATGATGACCATATCTTTGATCGTAGATTTTATCTTTTCCGATCAGATCGGTGAACGACCAGCCAGATCTGGTCAATCATGCGCCTTAACGCCAGATTCTGACAATGGTGGTCGAAATCTGGCAAGTGTGAGTGGGTGAGGGTGTTTTCGTTATAGTTAAATTAGAAAACCTAGGATTTTTTTTTTTTTTTGTTAATTTGTAAATTTCACCTCGTAATAATCACCCAATTTTACCTGCTAATAATATTTCAAAAATACTACTCAAAATAATAAAACAAACATATTTCAATTTTAGTTTTTAATATTAATTTATAATTATAATCTAATATTGGTATGAACTAAACTAGAATATATGTCATTTCCCTCAAACAAACATCAAAATTAGTTCCTAGTGATTAATGGTCCCTCTGTTGATCTTGAATGTGACTGAACCTTCATGTCATTTTTTTTTTTTTATTCTCATATACTTTACTCACAATTATCCATTTTGAATTAAAAAAAAAATGGCATGAAGCAATTACAGATAAAAATAAAAGCGAAGTAGAGAAGGACTAATTAGGATGAGGCTTTCGTTACCCACCATTCATACAAAGATAAAACCAGCCACGAAAACCTTCTTTTATCTCATACATTTTCCTATTTGCTTGGAGAGTTTAAGCTTCAGATACTTCAGCTCAAGATAGTAAGCATGGCGCTCAGAATGTGGGCTTCTTCTACTGCTAATGCACTCAGACTTTCTTCTTCTTCTTCCAAAACTTCCCTTTTTCCTGCTGCCTTTTCCCTCTCTAGATGCTTCTCTTCCGGTACTTCATTTTTCTTTCTTTTTTGTTCCTTGATGTTATCAGAATGTTGTTGACATGGGGTTGATTTCATTTGTCTTCTTGTAGTTTTGGATGGGTTGAAGTACGCGTCTTCACATGAGTGGGTGAAGCATGAAGGCTCAGTGGCCACCATTGGCATCACTGATCATGCTCAGGTTTTTTTCTGTTCTTTTTTCTCTGTGGAGATATTCAGGTTTATAATTATAAGAACTTGAATGTTTTTTGTTTTTGGTTTGCGTGATTACAGGACCATCTTGGGGAAGTAGTGTTTGTGGAGCTGCCGGAACCCGGTGGCGCAGTCAACCAAGGCGGCAGCTTTGGGGCCGTGGAAAGTGTGAAAGCAACCAGTGATATTAACTCTCCAATCTCTGGTGAGATTGTTGAGATTAACTCAAAGCTTACTGACTCTCCTGGCTTGGTAATTCTCCCTTTCAATTTCTTATTTTTTCATTATCCTTAGCAATATAATGTAGGACCATATTTTGAATTGATCTGTAGCTAATTTTGATGGTTTGAAAAATGAAGATAAATTCAAGCCCATATGAAGAAGGATGGATGATAAAGGTGAAGCCTAGCAGTCCATCAGAATTGGAGTCCTTGATGGGTTCAAAGGAATACACAAAATTCTGTGAGGAAGAAGATGGTCATTAGTATATTATTAAGATATGTTCAACTTCCAAACATTTTCCTCTTCTTTGTTTTAAATTACTACCTGTTTGTTTGTGTTGTCATTTTCATCTTCATGAAACTAAATTTAATAAATCCTTATGATCATTATTAATTTCAGCTTAATGTGTTTTTCCTCTTAACTAATCTTGAGTGATTAAATCCTTAATTTCATGTATAGCTTGGAGAAAAACTGAAAAAGAATTATTTATTATTCTCAAACTTCATACAAGTAAATGGCTATATTACTTGACTACATAAACGAATTAAATTTCTGAGAAATGTGTGGATGTTCATGATCTGAGTTTAATTACTTTTGCAAGACAGTTATCTGAAGGCTTTGGTATTGGTAAGTACACAATTCGGCAACCTGGATTAAGTTGTTCAAGCCTGCAATTAACAGAAAGAAAAGAGAAAAATTAGAGAGATAAAATAGTACTTCTAAATTCTGTCTAACTTATAATAAAAGTAATGTAAAACTCACTTGTAGTTAAGGAGAAAATAATGAAGGAAAATGGAGACTTCAAGCTTGGCTAGATCAGCTCCAGGGCAAATCCTGGGTCCAGCTCCAAAGGGAATAAAAGCTCCTGGTTTAGCTACATGGTTCTGCATTCAAGTTAAGAAAAATTAATAACATTGAGATTGCTTTTTGTGTGTTTGATGAATTTGGTGTCCCCCTTACCTCCCATCTTGAAGGATCATACTGGTTTGGGTGAGGGTAATTTTCAGGATCCATGTGAACACCTCTGTTCCAAACCAAAACTTTCCAACCTTTTGGTATCGTATAACCTGCAAATCAATAATTTTCTTTTACTCTTAGACATGATAGAATTAAAAAGAGCAAAAGGTTAGGGGGGAAACTTTAAGCATTCCGTGAGTAACCTTTGATGGTAACATCTACTTTTGCCTGGCGAAAATTTGCAAATGAAAGATTGGTTCTTCGCAATGTTTCATCTATCACCTATATCATAAACAATAAAAAACAATGAAAAATATGCAGCTTGTTGCAGACCATGATTAGACTAAGCAAGTTAGTTTTACCTTAGCAAGATATTCCATTTGTTTAATTTCGATGAGATTCAATCCTTTCTGTGTTGAGGGTCTTCTCTTCATAATCTCCTCTTGTTCTTCCTGCCAAGTTGGATTGCTTCACAAGTTAACACAATCTTTATCACTTAAAACTAAAATTTGTGTAGACAATCCCAAACCTTGGCTTTCTGTAGCATTTCAGGATGCTGATGCAGGTAGAGTATCGCCCACATTGCAGCATGCGCTGAGCTTTCATGACCGGCTAATAAGAACATGAGGAGTAAATCTTTGATATCTGCATCCTCCAACTTTTTACCATTCTCATCTTCCACTTCCATCATTAAATCAATCATGCCTCTCTTCGCCTTCTGCTTATCTTTACTTTCCCTCATTGCTCTTCTTTCATCTAGAACAGTTTGAAGGATCTTCAACAACTTATTTCGTGCCTGGTCAGAAAGAAACATGAGGTTAAGCTCATAGATGTTATCTTCTTCAACCTTACATCGAAAATGACAATGAAAACCTTTTAACAGCTAGCAGTAAAAGGTTGATATATTCCTAATTAAGATCTACCTACCACCAATTATTGATAGAAATGGCATGGTTGAAAACATCAATATTGCCGAAGTTTATTGTTAAAAGCAAGTAAAGAGATTTGTCCCCTTGAGAGTGACTTGCAAGAAAGCACATTGTTATTCGGCCCAAAATAAATAAAGCCTCGTGGTAAACGCCAGTTTCATTCAAGAATTAAATAAACATTTTGCAGAATCTTGATTATTCCTTGTGATGGTATTATCTATGAATCAGTATGACCAAATTAATTTACCTTGAGTGCTCTGTGAAAAGCGAAACCGGGGATGTTAATGGCAGAAGACTTCAATCCGTAAAGTATATCAGTGTAATATTTCTCCACTGATCCAAGAATCGAATCACTATCGGATCCCAGAAAGATGTGAGTGATGACTTTGAAAGCAATCTTCCTCATCTCAGTCAAGAACTCGATTGGCTTGTCGTTTCTCGCCCATTTATCCAATGAAGTAATCACAATGTTCTGGATGTACTCAATGTACATGGCTAGAGCCTCATTGCCAGTGATTGAACTTGTCGTCAGCTTGCGGAGTCGCTTGTGTTCTGAAACTGAAATGCTATGGAATGATTTTTTTCCTGTTAAATGCTTGGTTGAAGCAGGATAACCAAGTGCAAATTGCTCAGTGTCCATCAACACTCGTCTACACGTTTCTGGGGTGCAAACTATAACGCTCGGGCTCCCAAATAAGTAACTCTTATATATACCTGTTCGACCATATCTGTATCTCCAAAAGATCAGAATTATGAATAAGTGTGCATGCAAGACAATTGAAAGGGAGAGAACTTAAACAAACCTGTCAACTAAGTTGTAAATGAAGTTATCAGGATTACTGGATTTGAAAGCTCGCAGGAAAGACAACATTTTGCCGAGCACAGGCCATCCCATATCACCTGGAGGGAGAGCCCGCCGCTTCTCGTGACTCAACCTGAAACTAACATAATACCACTCGTTTATTCGGCTGAGAAATCCAAACAAGACACCATAAGTGCCAAGAAGAATTGCAAGAATCAGCCAAAATAAATCTAACTCCATATTTGTGGTGTTTGTTTATGAATGCAAGATAGTTGATCGCTCACATTTATATATATATGCAGCTTATTGTCTTCAATAATACGCGTATCAATAGCTAAAGAGTTGCTTGGTCCAAAGAGTTAGGTGAATAGCCAGTCTTCCATCTTTTCTTGTACTTCATTTTATAAGAATATTGCATCAGGGCAGCAATGACAGAATTTTGTAGTCTTTGACATGAAAATGTTTATAGTTGAATTTTTGTCTTTTGACATTAGTCGATCGACATAAACAATACCAAATTTTAAAAAAATTACACATGTCCATAGTAGAAAAGGGACTACATGTATGATGTCTTCTATTCATTTTTGGAGTATTGGTAAAGTCATTGACTTACAATTTATTAGTTCAGCGTGAGACGAGTAACAATGTTTTTTGAATTTAACTTCTTATATTATACATATAACTTTAAAATGTACAGCTATATATATTTGGTCATATCTCAAGATGAAGATTCTATTGGAGTTGTCAGCCAGTTCAACAATATCAGGTGATGCAGACACATACGGTGTCCCATTGGTGGTTTGGGCCTATCTCATGACGAGCCGTTATAGGATTTCTTTAAGTAATAAAACTCCTAATAGGATTTTGACTTAGTAAAATAGATCCTAGTAATATTAGGTTTTTCTTATTAAACCTAGTATATAAACATATTTTTTCTCTTGTATTAGTGATATAACAAATCATAGACAAATACATTTATTATAATAAGAGAGGTGATGAGATATTTCAATAATATTGATTCCACTGAAAATAGGCCAAATTTTGGATAAACTACGATAAATATTTGTTTGGTTTTGATTACTCTCCAGATTGTTTCATATTCCTGAGCAACGCAGGTAATTCATAATCACGCCACTTATGAATTATTTTTGAAGCTGAAACTTAAGCTAGTTCATGGAAGTTGAAGCAGTCATTTTTTCTTGAAATATTTTTGATAAATGGCACAGTTAGACTTGCATTGATTTATTTGTTAATATTTAGTTTATTGGACCTTAAAGTAAATTACAAATATAATAGGTGGTCACTTGGTGAGACTTAACATAAGATTTATGAGTAATTTAAAGTCTTGCCACCAAACCTCAAGCTAACTGGTTAGTTTATTTGATTCCTGACTTAACTAATACTACCGCGATGAGATCAATAAATTATGAATTCCCAGAAGGCCAGCAGTCCCAGTTCATAAATTAATATATCTTATAGTTATAGGACAATATGATTTGTAATTTTGCAGTAAATATCCTGGGATTAATCTTATTTACAAAGGGACGTTCTCCCACTTAAATAGTAGTGTCAAATTCACTCTTCTCAGTTTTGGCATTACTGGATGGATCTTTTCATTCACTTGAAGTTTTTACCAACATTTGTCACCATGCTTGCGATGCTGATTCCTGCGTCGTCAAGGACGTTTTACAATTTGATTTTAGTCTTTTATGAAGCAATTACTGCGTCGGAAAAGCACAGTTTTTCTGTAATGTCCTTCTCATATTAAAATTTTGTGCTTTGATTTTCGTAATTATGTTGAAAAGAATGATAATGAAGCAAGAGAAGCTATCAATAAGATAAGACAATGCTTTTAATTAAACTGTATTGATGCTTGATTTTAACATAGAAATGCTAAACGTGTTTAGAAGTCACACGTGATTATGAAAATATTTAGTTTAATAAAAGGTAAAGAACAACGTTTAAAGTGGTTCAAATGCTCAAAAACGAATCCTACGTCCATTGATATTTTATTAATGAGAGTAAAATTAGGTCGCTTTCAACGAGTTGAGTTACAACAGGAGAGAGGGTATACTATTCTAGTGTGAAATTAGCCAATCTCGCAAATGAGAGAGAAGACCTCTATTTATAATGGGACGAATCAAGGTAATGATTACTAAATCTACAAGTGGGGTGGATACCGTATCATTCTCTGCGTCCTATTGCTTATATGACCGAGTGATTTCCTCGATTTGTATAGAGATTGGACACGTGAGTGATTTCCAACCATCCGCTGGCATGACGTCCATCCACTGCACTAACAGGGACATGTCACTCACATCATTATGCGACGTGGTTGCGTCTGATCGATCGCTAAACTTCCAAGTTCTGATCACCCTATGTTGACAAGACCCTGTGTCAGCCCTACTCTTTCAGGCATAACAAACTGCTAGACCGGCTGCCGACTGCACTGAAGTAATGTGAGGCTGTTGAGCTTTACCGCCATTTGACAGAGTAGGAGAAAACAAAAAATAAGTATGTATATTGAGATTTATTTGGATGCTACTACTCAACTTGACCAACTTTTTTTGACAGATTTTACTCAAGGCTGGCCACCATCAATTTTATTATGCATATTTGTTTCCATGAATAATCATAAGTCTCATTGGTGCTAGT